AAGCCCTGGAGGCTCTGGTGCAGGAGCTGGAGGGAGGGGTGAGGCACAGGCTCTTGACTGACCACCCCACCTGGATTCTCCTGAGGGGCAAGGAGCTGTATGTGTGTGTGTGTTGGGGTGAGGCAGGGTGGGGGTGGGGAGTGGTGCTGGAAAGGGGTCCTATACCAGGGTGCAGCCACTCCTAAGTATGTCCCCGCTGCAGATCTTCTGTGGTACAGATCCAAAAAGGGTGAGATCTGAAATTCACTGGTTGCCATCTTCATCCCTAGGAAGCTGGGGAAGATGGGAGCTGTCATTCATCTGTTGAGCCCCTGAGAGCACCTCTGCAGAGCTATGGTGGAAAAGGAGGTTTTTACCCTTCCGTGAGCGATGCTGTGAACTGCCACTTGGTTGCTGAGCTCACTGGAACAGTGCTCCAATAAGGCAGAGGTGTGCGGAGATAGATGCAGTCCCTCGCTTCAATACCCTGGATTCCCACTGTTCCAACTAAGTTTCCAACCTGATGTGGAACTGATGTTTCTCAACCTGTTGTAAACCCTTTGATCAATCTCTAAAGATTTTGAATGGTTGTCTTTATTGATCCTCACCGGCTTAATGATTTCCCTGAACACGTCATGCTACCATTCTGGAGGACCTTCCTGGGGTAATTTGTTACACAGCAGTATAATATAATAGGCAAGCAAGGTGGTATAACTTAAATTAAGACAAGCAACCGGTTACATGGAAAGCAGGGAAGGCACTTCAAGCAGAAGGAACGGAAAGTACAAAAGTATGGAAGATGGAGGCACGGAGGAAAAGCTGAGTTAGAGAAGAAGTTCTCAAAATGTGGTCCTTGCATCAGCAGCATCAGTATCACCTGGGAACTTGCTAACAATGTGAGTTCTTGGGTGCCACTCCAGACCTACTGAATCAGCATCTCTAGGGATAGAGTACTGCAAGCTGGGTTTCAGCAAGCCCTGTAGGTGTTCCTGAAGCCCATTAAAGTTTGAGAACCACTGGAATGTAAGAGTTGTTTCTCATCAGCTGTAAAAGCTGGGCTCTTAATGTGTCCAGACTCTCAGTGGTTTTCCTTTTTCTTTAGAACTGAGAGAAAGGGAGCTAATAAGTACTTCCTCTTAAAGAATGCTTTAGGGCCTTAATAGAAAAAAACAGTTCCCCAACACCAGTCACATGAAGCTGGTCATGCCACAGCAAGCAGATGCTCACCCCACTTTTGCTGGGAATCAGTCACTTCTGATTTTAGTCTAAATTTTATTTAGTTCCGGTTGTTTTAATGAGCCACCCTACAGTTGTCCTGCACGTGCCACCTTAGGCATTGCCAGATTTTGCTCCTGTGCATGGTTGATGGTTATAGTTGTAGAGGGAAATGTGGACATTTGGCTTTAGTACAATTTAAAAGAGAATATATAAACTTGGCTAAGTCTAGTTAATTGAAAGAGCTAAAACTTGTCTGGGACTGAAAGAGTGGAAATGAGCTTGGATTGAAAAAGAGTAAAAGCAGCCCTGCTGCTACCCAGGCTGGGAGGACAGATTCAGATAAAGCCAAATGCAAAGTTCACAGAGAACAGCCTTTCTCCCGAGGTCGGGCTGCAGCTGTAAAATGCCATAACAACACTCTCTTTGAGTGACCACTGCTTTCTCACCAGTGATGCCCCTAGACCTGCTTTACTACACTCATCTTTTACTAGGGATTCCCAAATGCTGAGCCATCCTTGCTCATGATGGTACCCAACCCCTAGTTAGTCCCCAGTTTTCATAATTCTGCCTCAGCAACTGCAACCAGTACAGCACTGATCCCCACTTTCCTGGACCCTTCAGCAGGAGCTTGACCTTACAAATCTCCCCTTTACTGAGAAGCACCTCACGGCTCCTCTGGAGTGCCTCCCTCACAGCATCAGGTCGATACATCTGATCCTGTTGGACTACAGGCTTGTCTCTGGTGGTCTTTGTCTGATTAAGCTTAAATACAAAGAAAATGGTCCCTTGTTCTATATTTGGGGAGTAGAGTGGTGGTATTTGTTTGTTTGTTTGTTTATATTTGACTTTATTACCAATTTTAGATCCCAGGTCACAGAAAAGGAACCCAGAGAACTGCCACCATGGAACTGCCAATAGTTACTTTTCATCACATTTCAAATCAGTCCCTACCTCTGCCTCCCCATGATCATTAGATATTTTCTTGTAAAAGACCCACATAGAGATCTAACATTATCAGTTATGAATTAAGCATGGCAACCTTTCATTTAATCGAATTACAATCTCTAAAGTTATTAATAATACCAACATCCTCCACCTAAGGAACTTGCACCAATAATTACATCAAAGAAGAGATAGGAGTGTTGTGGCTTGATTAATGCAGGCTCTGAATTATTCAGCTAGCGTGTTACTTCAGTACCTCAAATGTGGACTAGGCACTTACCTTTTACATGTTCCTTTACTTGTCCATTCACTCAAACATTTTTTGAGAGCCTTACCAAAGAAGCCAAACACTGGCCTAGGTCTCAGAACTTAAAATGAATTAGACACGGCCCCTGCACGAAGCTTGCAGTGAGGTTGGGGAGAGAACCAGTGGGCAGCCAGAGTGAAGAGTGAAAAGCTCTGTCCACGAGGATGTCAAGAACTCCAAGCCCAGAGTGTCAGACAGATGTCCGCAGGGGCTTTGACACCAACCTGGATGAACAGGACATGAGGTGGAGAGGAGGGCCCTGAGCAAGTGACCAGATCCCTCGAGGGCAAAGGGAGTGCAGCCAGGATGTCTGCAGATGACAGCGCTTAGGAAGGGGTAGGATGGCTTAGCCAGAAGGAACGAGCTGCCAAGAAGTGTGGAGTTTTAGGGGAGGGTGGAGGACAATTGGCCTGGAGTACTTGAGGCAGCGAGGATCTCTCCTCAAGGCGCCCTGGAGTACCTGGTGTGCTGGACACTGAGCAGCCTCTCCCAGCCCTCGCCCTTCCCAGGAAGTCCTCAGGGAAGAGAAAGGAAGTGGAAGTGCTGTATTTAGGGAAGAGATTACAGATAATAAGGGTTTTTATTCTCGCCCAAAGGTCCAGAGAGCCTAGAGGCCCTGGAGAAGAGGGAGGCTGTTGGAGAATGGCTGGGAGAGGACTCCAGGGAGTATGGTGTTCATCTCCTTTTCAGTGGAGGTGGTAGCAGTTGGCAGTGTGTATGACCATGTATGTGGGGAGTGAACAGGTCCATGGCATTGGGCTGTTTTGAGGAGTCCTGATGGCTGAGGCACTGGGCTGGGTTGTCAGTCTGAGCAGCTAGCAGTGATTGGCCTGGCTGGGGCACTCAAGTCCTGGGTAGATGAGGTGCCCTGTTAAAATCCTGAGGATGATGCAGGCAGAGTTGAGAGGTGACTCTGAACCTCTGGAGTGTTCTGGCTGCTCTGGGAGGGATCTCAACCCCTCCCAGTTGGATCTCAATCTCTTCATTAGCATCGTCACAAGCCATTCTCTTATTGAGTACCTGCTATCTGTTGAGCATGTGTTAAGAACTGTATGTATAGCATTGACATAGACAGTTGGGCTCTATGCCCTCCTGCCCGTGGGTGTTTTAATGTCTGGAAGAGAAGACACATTAAATCAGGAATAACAAATGTACCACTTATTAGTACAGGTTACTAGAGTCAAATGTCAGGGGAAATTTTCCTTGTGTGGGTCAACAGAGTCCCTGTTGAGAGTCCCCTCACTCAGCTGGATTAGAGAACTGTAGCCCCACAGGGTGCTGCT